GAAGAAATATAAATATATATATACACAATAACAGCAGCTGTACAAGTATTAACTGGAAATGAGGAGTATAATGTCCAGTGTTGTGCAATCCACATTATTTAGTGACTTGTGCAGTGCAAATATGCCTAGACGGGTTGTTAACTGGGACACTGTCTTCCTTGCTTCCTTCTTGTCTGCACTTTTTTGGATGTGGTTATTCCACTCAGAGGTTTTTAGAGAGCCAAACTAAAAGATATGAGTATGAATGCATGCATTTTTTTCTTTGCTACACACAGCTTTTTTTGGTATATTGTACACAAAAAATCCTCACCTACTGCACAACTTTGTCCCAAAGCCTTTTGACTCCTGAAGGATCTCACTATCTACAACACTGCCAACATCTCAAGTATCAGTCCATTTTCTCGCGTTCCTGTGCTAAAGTATCTCAGTTGTATATGTGTGTGTGTTTTCTTCACAGGATGAAAGATGGAGTGGAGTTGAATAGAGACACTGCAGGTTCAAAGTACAGGTTAAAGAAAGATGGGAAGAGGCACATTTTGATCATAAATGAAGCCACTAAAGAGGATATTGGAACGTACTACGTCTATACCAACGGTGGGGAGTCAAAGGGAGAGCTGGAGGTTGAAGGTATTTGTCCTCCAGTCCACCAGTGCTTGAAAACTTGCTATCCAGGCTAACCGGGCTTATTGACAACAAACGGGGAGCATGAAAAGCAAATAACAACATGATCATATATTATTGGAGCAATTAAAAATTAAACATTACATAATTATTAATTAAAATAAAAATGAATAATTAAAATATTAATGTTCTTAAATTGCAAAGGCCATGAAATCTGCGGTGCTGTTTAAAGTTTACGGACATATTTCCAGTATGACTCCTCAGTTAGAAACAAACTTCAGCACATGTTGATGTTTTCCATCCTGACAAGCATGAAAAGCAACAAATTAGTCATTACTCATGTCATTATTAATTTTATTTCATTAATCTCTTGTATCAGTTGTATCACACTATTCGTCATACTAATTTGGTTTTACACCTCCAAAATTGATATCAGGCTTCAGATATCAGGCACTTACACGCTGTGAGTCAAACGAGTCCCATAAATTGATTATAGTGTGAGAAAATCTCTGTCCTTCCCCCTCAGATGAAGGATAGAAATACAGAGAAAGGATAGTATAGTTATAGTAACTGTGAATTAGGTAGCTGATATAAACAAAGTACTACAGTCAAAGTGGCTAAAACCAGCATGGCTGAAGCCCACGAGGTAATGAAGGAATGCTGAATAATAGTTTTCACTGCACATACCAGATGGGCATAGCCATAGTGTTGCCTGTGTCACCGTCCAGTAATGTGACTACTGCTCAGATCTACTGTGAAGAAAGAGATGAGCGTGAAAGCAAAGGTGTTGATTTACCAGCTGATCTACATTCCTACCGTTCACTTGTGGTTGCGAGCAAATTGCGGATATAAGAAAATTAGTTTATTCTGTACTGTTTCTGGGATCTTCTAGGTCATCCAGAACTCAGAACTGCTACTCCATAGTGGTGGTTAGGGAACCCGAGTAGGATGGGTTCTTTCAGAGAAAAGATGACCAGAAAAGCGGGTTTGGGGTGTCTCTGAAATGGTTTACAAAATGTATG